GAGAAGGTAAAAGAGCTGAAAAGAAAAATGTAGAGGGTAGTTTGAAGAGACAGTCAAATATTATAATGAAATGCATAAAAATCTGGAGTCAGAAAACCAAAAGAGAGGGACATGCTCAGCATTTCTCAAGCTGAAAGAACAGAAGGAAAAAAATCAACCTTAGGGTTGAAATGGTATTGAAATATTCTTTTTCACAATGAATGCAATACCCTTTCTCTTCAATTTGTCATTCCCAGCATTCCAATTCAAAAATGCCTAAACCAGAGCACTTCAGTTTAGTTTGTTGTTGTTAAGTGCCATTGAGTTTGTTCTGACTCACAGGGACCATGTACAGGGTTTCCAAGGAGCAGCTGGTGAGTTTGAACTGCCGACCTTGAAGCTAGCAGCCCAGTCCATAAGATACCATTTCATTCTAACACTAAATATCCTGATACCAGTCTTAATGAATGACCTTCATCTCCCTTCTTGCTAAAATTATAAGAGGGGAGCTTCAAAAAGTTCATGGAAAAATTCCAGTATCTTTCAATTCAATTTTCCATGAACTACTGAAATTCCCTGTGGATTAATGGCCAGATTGCAAAGCTGTTTGAAGTGCAAGGTTGGCGGCTCAAGCTCACCAGGTGCTCCTTGGAAACCCTATATAGGGTAGCTAAGGGTCGGAACTGACTCGACGGCACTTAACAATAACAACATATTTGTCTTTAGTAGGTATAGAAGTAGAACACCAAGACAGTACTTCTCTGAACTTACAGCTGCTGCATGTGTAGCTCACAGTCTCCCTTTGCTCCTTCCGTCTCGCCTAGTGGGTCTTCAGATTGGTTCCCCTGCTCCCTTCTCAGATGTAATACTAGAATTAGCCTCCCAATTACAATTTCTGCACATTGGGATGCCACTGTCAGTGTCCTACAATGTCTAATTTCATGAAACATCCCACTTTTTAGTTTTTACAATGGGAAATAATTTTTTTTTAAATTAAGAGGAAAAAATTATAGAGTTCCAAGAAGTGAAATCACTGGTGCTTGTTGGAATTTAATCAGAAGTACATCTGACCTTTTAGAAGTTCTATCTGTCTCTGCAATTTCTTAAATTCTAGGTAACCAATATCTTTAATGAAGAAGCTCTGGTAGCGTAGTGGTTATGAATCAGGCTGCGAACCACAAGGTCAGCAGTTTGAAACTACCAGCCGCTCTGCGGGAGAAAGAAGAGGTTTTCTGCTCCCGTAAAGATTTACAGCCTTGGAAACCCTGTTCAGGGTGGCTATGGGTCGGAACCAACTCGACAGCATGTAACAACAACAACTATCTATAATAAATAACTCGTCATTCTGAAAGGGGTATCTTTCTCTGTTTCTTCCTCATTTTTTCTTCTCCTTTTGATTTTCTTCTTCCTATCACTAGCTCTTTTTCTTTCTCTCTCTTTTTCCTCCCATTCCTTTCCCCATTTTATGGAAATATTACAGGAGAGATTTCAATTGATACTAAAGTTTGCTGATATTTTTTTTCTCCACATACATTTTGCTTCTACAGGAAAATTTGGCCAGTGTACAGCTTGACCCAGCAATTCTATGTTAAGGAATTTGGTTCTAAGAAAAGACCCAGAGATCTTCTCAAAGATTTATGTCCTGACAGTCATTTTAATGCTACATGTAATAACGAAACATTGAAACAACTTAAATCTGAAAAGAAAGGAATGGTTAGTGATTATAGCCATAATACATCAATTAAAAATTCTATTTTGAAAAACATTCCATGACATGGGAAATTCCAGGACATTAAGGAAGGGGGGGAAAGGCATTGAAATTGTTTTTACTATTACCAAAAATTTATCCTTAAACATGTATGTGACTCTATGTGGCATCAACAGTGTCATTGTTGTTGTTGTCATTGAGTTGATTCTCACTCATCATAACTCCATGTGTCCAAAAGAAAAAAAAATTATCAGCTTGCATTCCAAAACTTTGATTGTTTATCTGTCAGTAGTGGGGATATAGATGAATTTTACAATTTTAATTGTATGTATTTCCCAAATGTTCTTTTGGGGACATGCATTAGTGTATTCATTCACTTACTTAATCTGCAAAATATGATTGTTAGGTGCCAAGCGTTCAACTTTGTGTTAATGAGACAAAAATGGACCAGACAGAACAGACCGGATCTTTACTTTTCCCAGAGCTTATAATACTTTAAACTAGATGGCAAGGTTTTTTTAAAAAAAACCTTTGACCGAATAATTCCACTTTTGAGAGTCTATCCTAATAGTAAAAATTGCTTACTAAAATTCTCATACTCACTAGAACACTAATCACATAATAGTAAGAAATGTAGAAATCACATAAGTACTCAACAGTAGAGAAATGGTTAAATTAATAATAGCACATTCATACAGTGGAATAATATGATGTCACTGAAATTAAATTCATGATGACTTTTTAATAGCATGGGGAAATGTTCACCATTAATATCAATGGGGGAAAAGTAAGATGCAATTTCTATAGTCTTACTTCAATTATGTAGAGTAATATTCATGAAAGATATATTCAAAATGTTAAGAAGTGTAATTTTGGGATGGGAATTTGGGTTGATATAGTTTTGCGTCTAAGATTTTCAAGTTTCATAGTCTTCGATACTGAGCAACATGTAATTGCACAATCAGTAAATCCATACTGGTATTGCTGTTTTTTAGGATCAATTTAATAACATACAGAACATACAAAAGATAATATAACATTTTCTCAAACTCTGCATTTCCTTAGTGGAGAAAACCCACATGGAGCAAGTGTAAGGCCTCCTCCCTTTCTACAACATTGAGAAGTTCAATATGCAGGGGAGCTACATTCAGCACAAAGGACTTTAGGGGATTCACTTTGCACTCAACAAGACTAAGCAAAGAAAAATAGAAGAAACACTTAAAGAAAGAGGTGTGTGGCCTCAACCCAAACTCTATACTCTGTAACCTCGAGTACCTTGTTGGTAATCTCCCTGGGCTATATTTGTACAATAAAGCCAAGAAGACATTTCTTGCTACTGTCAGTTTCTTTAGCCTTGGCACTCGAGATCCTCTGATCTTACTCAGGGTCAAGGTCTTCTCTATGATTGTCCTAGAGAGAAACAACAGTGGATTCGGGGACACCAGGGACCACAGAGGCAAATCTGACTTCCTGCCAAAGCACTGTGAGAGTCCCAGTCCTGATTCATTCCTCAAATATACTAAGCTCAAAGGGAAACATCAAGGCTATGGAAGATGCTTCTGTATAGGCCAAAAAGGAGAAGGGGTGGAGCTCTATCAGCTACGAAATGCTCCCTACCACACCCACTGACACATCTCCCCAAAGCTCATGAAAGGCCCCAACACAGGAAAAACTACCAATTTTCCCTCTAATTTAGAGATCATCAAGAAATCATGTGTAGGGCTATATTATTACCAGATTTCCCTGTCCCTCAATTTGACTAGTATCAGGCTTTCTAAGTTTGAGGGAGGTTACTACCGTCAGGTTAAGGAAGCAGGTCAGCACATAAAGCTTTACAGGTGGACCTCACCTACTCTGCAAATGGAGTCTTTGTAACCCAGGGTAGCATCAATGATGAATTCACAAAATAATTCATTTTACCACCACTTTGTATAATTGGTCTGCCTTTACAGTTTAAAGATAAATTGATCCATACCAATTCACTTTACATACAACATATCAAGCATCAATCAGCATGTGGGTGAAGGGTGAGAACATATATTTCCTTGATTTTAAAAGTGTTCATAGCTACAGAAACAGAAAAAGATCTCAAACCAATGGAAAGCATTTTAATAGTTTAGGAACTAAATGTTCGTTCATTTTTCCTAGCCCCTTTGTATTTCTTACATTCATTTCCTTTAGCAAAACATCAAAAGAATGCATTCCTAAAACCACAGTGACAGGTGTTTTAATCATACTTCCAATCCCAAGTAAGCAGTTAACACCTGTGCACACAGAGACCTACACATTGAAGACCTAAGACTGCACTCTAATCATCAATCTACCATCATTAACACCTGTATGCAGAGCAATTCAATCCAGAATGGGAGACCTAGTGTTTGAAAATGTCAATCTTTTCACTTTCAATCAGCTTCTGAAACCCTCACCTGTTGGTTACTGAAAAGAAGAGCTCTCAAATGTCTTTGCAAATCCCATCTCCCTATGGTTACAGAGAGTCTAAAAACATTGACCTTACACTACAAGAGAAATTTAGAAAATTTCCCAGATAACATCCCTATCTGTGGAACTCCTTAAGAACAAGGTAGCTGCTTTGCACTTCTGCGTGGGTACATCTAGTGTCACAGGGAGAGCGCAGTTAGAATATTGAGTACCTTATCTTTCTGATAAAATGCTCTCACTTTAAAACTCTAGTGAACAGTTAAGGTGGAAGCAGAAAGTCCCCAAATCTTCTGGAAAAAGTAATCAATGAGAAATCTTGCCTAGGCAATGCAAAAGCAATGTGGGGCTGCTCAACAGAACAAACAGGCCTAAAGTCAGGGGTCAGCCCCTTGGTAAAGCCCTTGAAAGTCTGGGTATGACTTCTAAGCCTGAAGGATAAAGAAGGGGAAGCTATGGAAAGGGGGCAAAGAAGGAGTGGGAAGGAAAGTATCTGGGATATTTGTGGAGAGGGGATGATGAAAGGGGGATTATAGGAGGATAAAAGGCAGTGTGTGAAGAAAGGAATGATGATAGGTGAAAAGGGGAGGAGGGGAGGGCAGGAACAAGGAAATCCAGAAGACAATGTTGAGATAGGACCAAGTTCTCCACCAACAACTGACTCAAGTGCCGTCATAAGCATACCCCTGCACTAGTGGCCAGTCTCCACCCTGGGCCACCCACCGTTCAACTCCAAACCTCCAAGGCAGTGCCATGGTCCTCTGGGGACATTTCTTTGCTTTTACACAAGGAGTAAGTAAGCTCACCTGTCGAAGGCCACAGCTGTCATGGAGTAGATGCTGGCAAAGACAGCAGCGATGGGAAAAAAGTTGTGAAACTTGCAGTAGAACAGGCCGTAATACCATTCGTTGTGGACAGCGTAGGTGAAGTTCACCACTGTATTAAACGCTGCCATGGAGGCCTCTGCAAAGGCCAGGTTCACCAGGAAATAGTTGGTCACTGTCCTCATCCTCTTGTGGGCCAAGATGATCCACATCACCACCACGTTGCCCACCACGGAAGTCACCACTATGATTGTATAGGCAGCTGCCCAGAGAACAATTTGCCAGGCCGGCTGCACGAACTGATTGGGCTCTGAGATATTGGTGGAGATGTTTGGGGCGAAATCTGAGTTCACAGGGAGGACGTTATCCATTCCGCTGCTAGGCAGTGAAGTCCTCCTCTCTGCACAAATCTGCTTTGCAGCACGGTCCTGTGGTAGCCACCTAGGATTCAGAGGCCTGTTAACCAAGACAGTAGAGTAGGAGTCTCTCTCTGAGCAGAACTATCTCCAAGAAAGCAGGAGACTTGGCGCTCAGAAGATAAACGCTTCTCGATGCTCAGCTTAATTGCTCCTCATAGCTCTGAATTCCTCCACTTTCAAGCTTCAGGAAGCATTGGAGTTCGAAAATTTGGAGGCAGCGTCTCTTCTGCGTTGAGAGGCAAAGAAATTCCACAGTTCCAAGTGGCAGGGCAGGAGACCCTTGGCTTTCGGCACCTGCTGCTCCTTGCAACCTCTATTCCTCCCTCCTGCGACGAGAAACGCAAAGTCCTGCGCTGCGTGAGTACTTGGGACTAAGAACGATCCTTCACAGAGCGGTGTGTAAAAGTTCTGAGTCTATAGCTGTAAAGGAGAACCGTGTCCAGCTGGAGATTTTTTCTCTGATTTTGCTGTTGCTGCTGCCGCCGCCGCTTGCAGCTTCGTAGGCGCCTCTTGACTCTGGTCCTTCTGGGCTTGGAGTTAGCAGAACCTCCGGAGGCTGAGCTTGAGGCTTTTATAACCCGCTATAAAGACGTCACCGGGAAGGGGCAGTACCTGCGTGGCACTCGCCAGTCCCTGTGCGCAAAGCGGCAGCTGCACCAGCTGTTGGCAACTCTCACCCCACCGCCGCAGCCACCACGCCTTTTGCTGCTACCTGCTTGGGCGTCTGCCAGCCGGGTGCCGCTACGCAGTCCGCGAGGGGGCGGTAGATGACCTCGGAGTAAGTGCGCCAGATGGGGTCCACAGCTGAAACTACAGTTGCAGTAAGGGCGCTTGAGGGAAAGAAGGATTGGGGAAGCAGTTGGGGTGGAAGATATTTCCAGGGAACGCGGACCGGAGCGCTGCGGCAGCTCTGCAGAGGCGCCTGCCTGTGAAGGGAGACCCGCAAGTGTGGAGGCAGTGTGCCAGTGGTGCGCTCCGAGTTGCGCTCAAGCCAGAGCGCACCACAGGCTTGCTCCGGCTGCTACCCAGAAGTAAGAGGCGAGGAGACCAGGTTCCAGTTGTCCGGAAACAACTTTCCTGAGGTTGTGATTCGGAAACTCCAGATCCCTAGTTTCTTTCTTTTGGGGATACCTTCTCCGATCCCCCTTGTGGCTTGACCTCTCTCTCTAGGAGCAGTTTCTCCCAGGCACTGAGAACTGAGCTGGGCTCTCTGTTAAGCTTGGTGAGCACAGGACCCACCCTTCAGCATCTTGTGCAGACGCCTGGCTCTAGGCTCTGCGCCAGCACCCACTGCGGCCTCGTGCTCGCCACCAGGGAACCTCGCAGCCTCTGCCTCTTCGGTCAGAGAACCGGCAGGTCAGAATGCGGCTGATATAGTGTCCGGGGCTCTTCCCAGAGTCTCCCTTCCAGGTTTGCCTAGGGACTGGAGACAATCTGCCCGCCTCCTCTCTTCTCCCTCTCCTCCCACCTCTTCCCCAGTGAGCTTGAAAGCCTCATCTCCAAGTCCAAGACTGTTTCAAATGTCTGAGCTCCTGCCAGGCACTGCAAGAAAGTGAGGAAGGGTTCGCCAGTCGGTGCTGACCTTTTGGGAGAGGACAATATGGACTAAACGTCCTAGCGCGTTCCCGCCAGGCTGCCGTGAGAGATGCCGAACCATCACAGTCATTTTGGAGCCAAGACACCCTTCTGCCCCGCACCATCCTCCTACCCTTACATTAAGGGGGTCTCAGAGCTGTGGAACACAGCTGGAGATGGGTGTCAAGGTCGGGGCACTGAGATTCGGTTTGGCTTACGCCGGCACCACACATGTACTGTCTGGTTGCGCGCCACTGCGGTGTGTGAGCAAAGTATATAGCAAGAAGCCCTTCAAGGTTCTCTTGTACTCAGTGTTGTTGTTATGTGCCCGTGGAGTCGGTTCCGACTCAGCGACACTGTACAGGGTTTCCGAGGCTTTAAATATTTACGGGACCAGAATGCCTCGTCTTTCTCCCGCGAACAGCTGGTAGTTTCGAACTACTGATCTTGCGGTTCGCAGCCCGATTCATAACCACTATGCTACCAGAGCTTCTTGTACTTAGTGAGGTGGAGGTAAACCGGATCCCCTTGAGAGTGCTAGGGAATCTCCTAGTTCACACTGGTTTTCACTAAGTGTGGGATTTCAGTGTTAGTATGAGTCGCACCTGCTCTGCTTCTGTCCTCCCAGCTGCCTTTAAACCCTAGAGAGAAAATTGCGGACATGCTTTGAAAAAAAGAACACCTTTTAATTTAGAGGGATAACAAAGCTGATCCACGTTGTGGATGGGAATAAGAATGAGGCAGTATGCAGATTTACAGCCTAGGAAACCCTATCCAGGGTCTCTATGAGTCGTAAACCACGCTGCACTTAACAGGAATAAAAGCCTAGGTTGCATTGAAGAAACTGCTAGTAGAATTAGGGACATCAAAGGCAATTTTGGTGAGGACTCAAAAGGATGTGAAGAGAACTATAGAGAAAGTCTCAATTGCCTTAGAAATCACAGATAGCATCCACAATGCAATGGTGCTAGAAATGTGGACTTCAAATGAGTTTCTAGTGAGACTTTAAAAGAAAAAGGTGATCATATTATATAACAAAGATACCAGAAATAGTATCAGAACTACTTGATGTTATTGTTGTTGTGAAGTGCCCTCAAATCGGTTCTGACTCATGCTGTTGTTCGGTGCCATCTAGTCAGTACCCACTCACAGTGACCCTATGCACAACAGAAGGAAACATTGCAGGGTCCGCAGCAACCTCACAATCCTTGCTTCCCCTAGCCACTGTGCCAATCCATCTCACTGAGGTCTTCCTCTTTTCTCCTTTGCTCCACTTTACCAAACATGATAGTCTCCTCCAGGGACTGGTCCCTCCTGATAATACGTCCTAAGTAGGAGACACGAAATCTGGCCATCCTGGCCTCCAAGGAGCACTCAGACTGCACTTTTTAAAACACCAATCTGGATTTTGGCTGCCCAATATTCATTTCATTTCTTGACTGCTGCTTCCATGAATGTTGATAGTGGATCCAAAGAAAATGAAGTCTTTGACTGCTTCAATCTTTTCTGCATTTATCATAGTACTATTTATCTACTTGTCATTTTTGTTTTCTTTACATTGAGATGCAATCCATACTTTGATCTTTATCAGTTAAGTATTTTAAACCTTCATCACTCTCAGAATACAAGGTTGCATCATCTGAATGTCAAAGGTTCTAGTGCCCATGCCTTCTCTACCTTGCAGGGTAGAGGGGAAAATGTGTTTGTGAGTCTGAGAAAGAGAAACAGAAAGAAAGAAAAAAATGTTTTTCTCCACCTTTAACTTTTCCTTGGAAACTGTATAAAACTATTTCACCCTGTCCTGTGGAGGCAGGCTAACATTTTCAAAAGAAACTTTACTCATGCTCTGGTGGAAGGGGCGAGAAGTGGCTAAGAACATTGTGTATGTCTTATCCTGTATTGGCAGTGCATGCCCATCTATTAATCTAGGCATTGTGCTGGAGGTTGGGGATATAGCTGGCTTGCAGTCTGCTGAAGGAGAAAGAGGCAAGTAACTATGCAAAACTGACAGTATTCTGATGAGGTGCATGGCCCTGAATGAGCAGAGACGAGGGAGCAAATAACTTAGACAATGAGGGAAAAGAGTTAAACTCATACCCATGGAGAGGCCTGAGGAATGTGTTAGGAAGGGGCTGAGAGTGAAAAGCAGGCAAATAGTCTAGACCCAGGCTTTATACATTCAACCATGTCACTCCGCTTAAAGTCCACCTAAGGCACCTAGATAACTAAGAATAACATCTATACTCCTTCCTCTGGTCAAGTCTCTTTTGGATTTTTCCCTGCCCACATAACTATCTTCAAGCAAATTCCACTCTCCACCCAGCTCAATAAAGTTCCGCCACACTAATTGTCTGTTCCGTTGGCTGTCATACTTATCCTGGCCTCAGGGCCTTTGCACAGCAGTTCCTTGTGCCTGGAATGCTCTCTCCTTAGATCCTCACATGACTGACTCTACCTTCATTCAAGTCTCAGCTTAGAATCAATGAAAGGCTTCTCTACTCATGTCATGGAACATATTCCATTCCTTCACCTGTCACCCCTCCCCTAACCCTACTTGTCATAGTTACGTCATTATCTGAGTTATCATGTTCATTATTTGTTAACTTAAGAACGTCTCTCACCAACTACAGGATAAGCTCCATATGTATGGGGACCTAGCTTATGAGTCCACTGCTAAGAACAGGGCCTGGCCTCCAGTAGGCACTCAATAAACATTTGTGGAATTACTGTTGCAAGAAGGATGATCACTTTGAAGTCCTGAAAGGTGCTACACCATGCCCCCGAAAACCCCAACCCTTTGCCATGGAGTTGATTCTAACTCAAGTATCCCTACAGGACAGAGGAAAACTATCCCAGAGAGTTTCCAAGATGATATGATCTTTACAGGAGCAGACCACATCTTTGCTCTTTGGTGGGATTGGTGGGTTTGAACTGTTGACCTTTTGGTTAGCAGCTGGGCAGTTTAACCACTGTACCACCAGTGTCCTCTAAATGTTACCTAATCTTCCATCTGGGACACTTAGGCTGCATGGAGAATGGAACCAAAGTCTTGCTCCACCTGTGAGAAGAATTCCATTGGACATAATCTGTACTTTCTGATGGAGGTAACAGGGGTGATTAGTTCTTCTGGGTAGAGAGAATTTTCTGTGAGCTGCAAACAAGTGGTTTTCACAAACAAATGTATGTGAAAATTTTACTTGGATGTGATGAACTGCATTTCTGGCCCTGATATGTGTATGCGGTTTACCTAGGTTCCTCGTTCCTGTGCCCATTTACTCATAACTGGTAGTAAGTAGTACATTGCTGTAACACTCAAGAGCTAGTCATAGAAAGTTCCTTTCAAAGTCCACTTTTATTACAGTTCAGATCAATCTGGACCCCAACACTCATCCACTTGGTTCTAGTGGCTTACCCAGAAGTTAATATGTTTG